ACAAAACGAATGATTTTGTTTTTATTTGATTGGGGGAAATAAAGATTTTATTGGAGTCGCCATCTAGTAATTTGAGGGAATTAGAAATCCAAAATTAGACACTGGTCCCAGAGATTCGGGTACTGGGTTAGTTATGATTAAGGGAAGGTAGACACCACCTTTAAAACATCCTTTAAGAAAAAGGTTACCTTTACTTGTGTGTTTTTCTTACTTGATTCAAATGCTATTATATTTTGAGCTTATTTGTAATTTTTTAACATGGTTAACATCGGTCCCTAAAAATAGGAGACGCGTTAAAAATGACATCAGTCCCTAAAATTAGGAGACTTTGTCTAAAATGTCGACGTTTATCCCTAAAACGGAGAGTTACGTCTGATTTATCAAAATAAATAATAATGGACATAATCCATATTTGGTATTTAATTTTTTTTTGACATCGGTCCTTTTCTGTAAATAAAAGAGACGTGTCGACAAATAATATTTATTTTATAAAATAAAAATTATTTTTGATATCATTCACAAATAGATATATCAATTCTTGAAAATTGGGTTTTTGACCCATAAACAGTGATATGATAAAATGGGTGTTGAACCCGCGTCGTTATTTATTTTTGGTTTATTTTTTTGTTGTTTTTTTCACGTGCAAAAATTTACAAGTATTTATATATAAAAATATCATAGAAAATTACCTGGGTACCCCTGTATAGGCAAAATACTGAAATACCCTCGGATTTAGTGAAAATTTATGAAAATGCCACTGGTAGATCCTGTGTGGCTCACGCACGGTTACTGTTGACGGCGGCGAAATTTTCCGGTGAGATGCCAGCCAAAAGATGGTTGATTCTGGTAGATCTGAGGATGAGGATTCTGATGGTGGTGGTCTCGTTGGTCGTTGATGGCTGAGGAGGGAGAATCGACAAGTTGAAGGTCGGTTGGCCGATGACAGTCGTGGCCTTTCTCCGGCCAAAATCGCCGGTGAAAAAGTGTAAAACGGCCGGAGTTTTGCTTCAGAGGAGGCGATTCACGTTTTTGTGGTGGTTTCCTGGTTTGAAACGGCCGGAAATGGTAGATCGGCGGAGAGAGAGAGAATCGCCGGCGAGAGGAGAGAAAAGCTCTGGGTTTTTCTACGGTGTGGACGAGTGTATGGTGCGCTCGTGTGTCTGAAGGCTGTGAACTGTTGGATCTCGGATGAACAGATCGTGCGGCTATGATTCGTTTGATCTTCAAGTTGATCGGACGGTCAGGATTGAATGGGCTACGATCTGGTGTGGCGCGGTGTACCGAGTGCTCGGTATACCTGCTGACGTGGCGCAACCAGATCGAAGGGCATATTATTTGAATGGCTGAGATTGATTTGGGTTTTAATTTGGTGTGGTAAAGCCTATTGTATCCTAAGAAATCAAAGGCTCAGATCTAAATACTATTAGATCTAACGGTTGGGATATTTTTGGTATTTTTTAATTTATTAAAAAAAAATTAATATCTTACTATGGTGCAGAAGAAGTATAAGAAAAATGAATAGTACCCAAACAGTAACCCAAATAGTGAATTTGAGAATTGAGAATTTGATTTAGAATGAATTTTTTAATCCTTTCTCCCCCTGTGTGTCCGGCTTTCATTGGCTATTTATAGCCAATGAATTCAGACAACAATTCACGAATTGTTAAGATTTTCAACTTCCACCGATTACTATTTGTCTTATTATATATAATAATACTAAATAATAATATAATAATACTAAATAATAATAATAATATTTATTTATAGGGGTAAAAATTAAAAATTCAAATCAGTATTATAAAAAGTTTTTTATCTGCTTAAAATCAATTTTAAATTACAAAAAAAAAAATTTTTATACAGGTATCAACTCGGTGGACCAGGTTTTTTGACCAAAAATACCAGTTTTGACCAAAAATAGTCCGAAACTCATTTTTTTATCGCGGTCGACATGGTGGGACCCGTATTAACCTGGTGGACTTGGTTTTGACCGAAAATGACGGTTTTGACCCGAAATAGGTTGAAACTCATTTTTCATCCCGGTCGACATGGTGGGACCCGTATTGACCCGGTGGACTCGGTTTTGACTGAAAATGACGGTTTTGACCCGAAACAGCCCGAAACTCATTTTTCATCCCGGTCGACATGGTGGGACCGTATTGACCCGGTGGACTCGGTTTTGACCGAAAATGACGGTTTTGACCCGAAACAGCCCGAAACTCATTTTTCATCCCGGTAGACATGGTGGGACCAGTATTGACCCGGTGGACTCGGTTTTGACCCGAAACAGCCCGAAACTCATTTTTTATCGCGGTCGACATGGTGGGACCCGTATTGACCTGGTAGACTCGGTTTTGACAGAAAATGACGGTTTTGACCCGAAATGACCCGAAACTTATTTTTTATCCCGGTCGACATCGTTTAACCCGTATTGACCTGGTGGACTCGATTTTGGTAGAAAGATGTGGTTGACTCGAGAAAATATATTTTAGACTTTATATATATATATATATATATATATATATTACATTTTTTTTTCATGAATAATAAGATAAAATAACATTCAAAAAACTTTTTAGTGAATCCAAAATTAGGTTACAACAGTTTGTATACATGTAAATAAGATAACTAGCTGTGCTACCAACCAAAATTTTATTTGAATGTAAGAAAAAAGTATGCATGCATTAGTATTCCTTTTTCTTTTCTATTTACAAGAAAACTTTTAATTTTGAAATGAGAATTTGATATGTATAAAGAAAGTTTTTGTTTTTAAATATGAAGATAATAATTTTTTTTAATTAATTCAAGTTAATTCAATTCAATGTGTTAAATTCATGATTTGAATTATAAATACAATTAACTTATTAATATAGTTTTTGTAAAATAGTTTTTTAATTATATGATAATAAAAACATATGCTATCAAAATAGTTAATCAGTTAAAATTAACAAAAAAAAAAAATTTTTTTTTAATATAAATTTTAGAATCTAAAAATTTATTGGACCCAATTAGTCCGGTTGAGCCTATCAACGAGCTAAAAAGTAAAATTCTTCCCGTAATCTCTTAAGGAAAACATGTGCTAAATCACTTGAACCAAGTTCAACTACTATTGGTATATAAAAACTTGTTAATATTATAAATATAACAACCTTATTAAAAAAATAAAAATTAAATGATATTTAATTGAAAAAATATATTTAGTTAATTTAATAATTTAATATATTTTAATCCATTAATTTTAAATAAAATCAATTTAAATTAGATAAAAACAAAAACAAGCTATGCAGCACGCCTAACAATTTAAAATAGGCCTAGTTAATAGGGTTTTCAAGCGAGTCCTTCTGCATGACCTCAATTAAAATACCTAGTGTTTGTTTTTTTTTTTGTTTTTTTAAATGAACAATATATCACATGCATAACCACTTATGAACCCCCCAACATCACTAAAAATATATAAAAATTAGTTAAATAAAAAAATCTAAATAACACTAATTTATTTTTTCAAGCATGCTTATATAAAAAAAACCCCACTATAACTATTTTT